TTCCTCTCTCTCTCTCTCTCTCTCTCTCTCTCTCAACACAATGGTTTTTGTTATTTGCAAGTTTTTGCAAGTTCATAGGGCTCTCATACTTATTATCAGAAAGAATTAAAATCTGACCCTCTACCCGTTCATTTATGTTAATATTACTGCACTATCCTTCAGAAATGCTTGAACTATGTTCCTTATATCCTCTCCATTATATCATCAATGATTTGTTTTCCATTCTTAAACCCTTCCTAAACTTAAATTGCCCTCGTAGATTTTGTTCATCAAGTCCATAGGTGCGAAGAACTAATGTTACCTGTGATAGTTGATCAATGCCAGGACTTGTCTTTGTTCTCATACTGAAATTATTAGATTCGAGCTGAAATTTATGATTATGATATACTTCACAGTTTACAATATTCTACAAAGATAATTATTGAATTCAAGACTGAAGAGTTCCATTTTGTTTTCTGACAGTGAACCAATTCATCAGAGTCATCTGATATCAGTTGCCACGATTCGTCTTGTATTGGATAAATCATAGTACTTTTCAGTTCCTGCAAATATGTAACTCAGAACTCCCTGTCCCCCTCTCCCCCCTCCTCTCTCCCTCTCTCTCTCTCTATAGCTTGTATCTGTAATAGATGTACTTTATTTTCTCTGTTGTCAGTTAACAGGCAAAGTTGTACGCAAAGGGGAGCGCATTTGCATTTTTCACGAAGATTGTTTTCTCTGGTTTCATATTAAATGTATATCAAATTCATTGGAGACTCCATTTCTTCGGATCTGTAACTTTGTATATTGATATCAATCTTTTGAGCTAAGTAACTTGTGGCTGCCTCCAGTTTTAATGACAAAATTGTAAGCTTCGTGCATATTTCTTTCTTTTGATAAATCCGATGTCTGTACAAATTTCAAAAAGCTTCATTCTCTTTTTTGCAATCTCTAGAACTTCAAAATTTGCCATAAATCAATATTAATTTTGCACAAAGGAAAAACATTGGTTGAACTAAGAACCTGCAGGTTGCATCCATATGTAGGAGAAATATGTTCACTCACTACAAGACCTTATACATTAAACTCAAGGTCCCTTTGGGAAGAGAGGAAATAATCCAAGTATTTCAGAGTACAATTCAAGAGGAGAACCTCGACCAAGCAATACTTGAGGATTTGCAAAAGAGCTTAAAATCTTACACAGAAACCAGGACAAACAATTAGCAAACTATTTCAGATAGGGTACAAAACATAATATGGTTTGGTTAAGTGACAATAGTATAGAGTACATGATATAGGTGGAGTAAGAAAGGGTTTACCACAAAATATCTTTAATGACAATTCATTGACAAAAGTCTAGCTTTAGTGGTTTCAAGGATACATGCTCTCTGTTTAACATTTTATTGCAGCTGAACACCTGCAATTTTCAGAACTCTCTCTCTCTCTCTAAAATCTCATCACCAAAATCAGTTTGTGAGCCAAATTCCAAATTCCAAATTCCAAGGGAAGAGTCAGTACACAGCAAAAGTGCACATAAAAGACCATGCTTCACCATCATACAAACAGCACAAGATCACAGTCCTCTCAGCCACCCAATTCTTCTTTTTCAGTGCATTTCCTCTTCACCACAAAGCCATCTTGTTTGTTTTGTCCTTCATCTTCTTCAATGCATTTCCTCTTTGCCTCAAACCCCTCTTCTTTGTCTTCTTTCTCTTCCTCTTCTTGCTCTTCAGTGCATTTCCTCATCGCCTCAAGTCCATCTTCTTCTCCATCTTCTTGTTCTTCAAGGGCATATTGTTTCCTTTGGGGTATCACTTGAAAGAAGGATTTCTTCCAGTCTTTTGTTTCTAAGAAGCTCAATAAGATTTCTACCACCTGGTTTACAGTGAGAACCTGCTCCATCAAAAGCATAAGATCAGAATTTCTTCTTCTCCATTGGGCTTAAGTATGGTTTAGCATAGAAGAAGAAAAAAAAGTCTTCCTATAGGTCAATGGTCGGAGTCAATCCTTGATGGTGGATGGAGATTGAAGTACCAGTCACCTCTTTTTCGCTTTTGCAATTCAGTCCATCATAATGGATTGTTAGAAAATGATCAGCAAATTGAACCGGAGTGGAATAGGGAAAGGAAAAATGGGATTCAATTTGGGTACATTCAGATTGAGGTGTAGAGATGCTGCTTTTAAAACCTAATACCATGATTCTCCCCATTTGTAGATTTGCAACAAGCTGATCTCCCTTTTTCTCTCCCTCTCTCCTTGTGTGCACGCAAAGACAGCAGAAAACTGGCAGTTCAGAGACAATTTAAACCTGTCCTGCTGCTTTCATTTTTTCTTTTTTTTGGTGAGAGAGAGGGGGGGAGGGGGGAGGGGGAGGGGGCGGTGGGGGAGAGAGAGAGAGAGAGATTCACACACCTTTGAAAAGTAGATAAAGTATAGCCTATCATAATTCTCAATACTTGAGCCATGGTTGTTTCACATAACCCAGAGAATACGTCATTTTCAAGATTATTCAACCAATGGCACTCAAACAAAATTCTTTGCAACCAGGACAATTGTCAAAGGCTTCATTTTATACCTTATAATCAAGGAGAGAGCTTTTTGTATGCCACTAGGCATAGGAAATTTATATATGCCACTCTCTCCCAGCCGTCGGATTTGAATGAATGGCTGGGATACCTTCAGCCATATGTCACAAGTAAGCCCCGACTCTTTGATCTAGATTTAACGGTTTAGAGTATTTTATTTTTAATTTTTTTTGGCAAAATCAAATCAACATGAAATTTAGTGCATGTGATCATCTCAATGGGTTGTACCTAAAAACATATTAAAAAATACTTTAATGAAAATAAAATGAACAAATTGCCCCTGAAACTTTCAAGAGTATTTTGGTCATTTTATTTTTAAAATATGATTTATATTTTTCGTAGGTTTGCCCATGAGAGGATTGGACACCCCAATCCAGCCATACATTAAGATCGAAGTGCTGGGACAGGGGTGGCATATTATATAAATTCCCTATATCCGGTAGCATATAGAAAGCTTTCCCATAATCAAGAACAAATAAAGCAACCAATACACACACACTCTCTCTCACACAGTCACATCAAGAACTAAACTTGCCTGAGAACTTGACATCTTTATATAACTTCCAATTGGCAGCTTAGCAGATTTGATCCCTTGCTCTTTTGCCTTCTTCTCAGTTATCCCTTTCCATCTGTTGCGGTCCACTAAACCCCCAATTATATAGATTTCCTTGGGATCTAATTCTTCAAGGGTGTTCTCAGAATCAGCCGTTAGATAAACCAAATTCTCTTTTCGGTCATGCAAGGCTTCAATATAGGATCGAGTTTCCCTCTCTATAATCCAGTTTTCAGATCCAGGGATTTTCTGCAGTTGGGTGCCCATCTCCTCCTTGCATCCTGTCAACCAGAGGTGCGCCGGAATAGAGCATTTCTTATTCACTGCATAACAATACATGATCTGCAAATTTTCTGGGGTTTAAATGCAATGTATACTTTCAATGCCTAATTTTATAAAAAGAAATGCAAAGCAGGCTATGTTGAGTTTGCTGCTAAAATTGCAGCCAATTAATGCTGAATAATCAAAGATTTATATATGCAAAACTTCATGAAGGACAAAAGGGGAAGAGAGAGAGACTTATGCATTGCCAACTTGGATTTCTTTTGCGCTTTATGTGGTTCCTACCACAAATCCACCGACAAAACAAAGGGATAATGTACGTGAGCATGGGGTCTAAAGAAGTGGAGTCAACCCAGTGCCATGACAAAGAAATAAGATATTCAAGTATGTCGAAAAGAGGGTATCACCTTCTGATTCTATCAAATTAGAGGTAGGCTTGATGACCGAAGTCTTCGTTCCTTTATAAAATTTATCTCAATCCGAAGTTCTTTTTTCTCGAATAGATGTTGATTCTTCAAGTTCTCAGGTGAGTATATTTGACAAAAAATACAATGCTTAGTGCTCCACAATGGGATTCCCAAAGTAATTGTATCATGGTGACAATCAATTCAAGCACAAAAGTGCATAGTGGTATTAGGTGTCCTAGTCTCCTAGAATGGAGAGATAGAGGCCCAGTCCTCTGATCTGGTTACCCAGTTAAGTTTTTAAGAATATTCACTTGTAAAATGATAATGAGGATGCTTTATTCCTGGCTTGAAACTGCCACAAAACTCATTGTTAAGAAAATATTAAAGCTCCCTTTCGATTTAGAAGTAGAAAAAAATCAACCATCAATTGACAGATAACCAAAATACGCATGGATATAAGTCTTCAGATTTGCTTGACCTGTTTATATGGTCATGCTCCCCTATAAACTGTGTTCTGCCATTCAATCTATTGCAAATCTAAAGCATGAGACTTACTTCCACATATATACACCTTAAACAAATTCGACGGCATGAATACCAATTTTCTAGATGAATGTAATGGGAGAATTTACACATTTAAAGAAACCATCAACAACATGAAAGATAATTCACTCTTTGAAAATACTGATGATGGTTCGGTCCTCAAAGGCCGGAAGAAATTAAATGCCACTATAAAACAAGGAGGATAAGTTTTAACTAAACAGAAAGGGGTAAGTGTTTTGTAAACCAGCAACTCATATCTACTTTAATTTTCCCAAACTATTTATTTACGGGATTGTATACAATAAGACCATTTATCTTTGGTACATGGAGGTCACAATTACTTTCAATCATCCGATCTGAAATCTGATAGCTTGGGTGTATCACAAAGTTTGAGAAAAAAAAAATTTAACTTTGAGCTTGGCCAATGAAATAAATGCAGCCACTTAATTTTACATCCAATGGTCAAGATTAATTGTGACCACCTTATATCGAAGATAAATGGTCTCATTATATACTTTCTCTTTATTTAATCAAGGGGGAACTATTAATCTAGAAGAAAACAATAACTAGATTTTATCCATATGAGAATGCAAACTTATCCAAAAGAAAAAGAGTTCAAATAAATAAAGGGCTAATCCACGTTTCCTGACAAAGTGTGCAATAACTACCGAAGATTATGATAACAACTTAGCAACTTAATTCACGAGAAGGGATTCAAATAAAGGTATTGGATGCAGCTAGAAAATCCAAATGAGACCATGGACTTAGGGCCTTTCATAAACAGCTTCTCCCTCCGATACTAAACAAACAAAGTCCTTCATTCAATTAAACAATGCATTTCTTTTCAAAGGTGCCTAAGAAAATAAAATTTATGGTTAGTTCGGTCGCTGCAAATAACTTTTTACGGTAAAGGAAATTGCGATAGCATTTTGAGAAATGGAAAGGGAATCAAAATGAATACCAGGTAAGAATAAAAGCTGGACTGGGAACTGGTTTTGCAGTAAAATCTGTCCAATAGAAGCAAGAATCTAAGATGGGGAAGTGTCAGCAAAAGTTCTTGTGATGAAGGTCTTTGTCGCAAAAACTCGAGCATGTAGTTGAAAGAAAGGTAAAGTTTAAAACCTTATATGCTTTCCAAATTAGACTTGTGGTTTGTAGCAAAATTCTGATCCCAAAATCTCATCTACACTTGAAAATAGATCAAATAGCATTTGAAAATTACAACAAAAAGCAAGTACAATCAACTCACCACATTTGCATCGACAGTTACACAAAGGCCATACTAGACTTTCTAGTATTGACAGATTCATAGAATATTAAACATTCATAATTTACCAAGGAGAATAACATCCAATACACACAAGCTACATCAGTGAATTCATCATAGAAGCACTTGCATAAGATTTCAGCACCAACCCAATATTTCAATTTCACAATACTTCAATTTCACCAACACACATGCGTGCGTGATGTAAGAGAGAGAGAGAGACCATGGTTATTTCTAGGCATTGAGCAAATTATATATTATACCCATTAATCAACAGCCATGGAAAGAGAAACCCAAAGTACAGCTTAAGCAAAACATTTGGAGAAATGAACAAAAATCAAATGATTCATGATCAAAGAATACGACCCAAATAATCAAATAGAAACAATAAGTTCCAACAAAAATTAAACACTTACAGATAGAGAGAGACTTTGAGGGGCATCACAACTACTAAACAATAACATGGACTTTAGCAAGAACTAAGTAACTCTTAAGTAAGGAGGGAGAGAGAGAGAGAGAAAGAGAGAGAGAGAGAGAGAGAGAACACCAGACCTGCTGAACAAGACTATTGATCTCGGACTTCTTCATCAAGTCTGCAAATTCCAAGTCAACAACAATGTTCTGCCCGGTTTCCATTGCCCTCCTCAGCTTGTCTCTCTTCTTTTCTCTCTCCTCCGCTCTCATATCCATCCTCTCTCTCCTCAACTCCTTTCTACTCTCTAAAAGCCTCGCCTTCTCTTCCTCCGACACCCCATTAAGCTTCTCTTCCCATTCTCTCCTCTTTCTCTCACCTTCTTGCTTCTTTCTCTCTCTAGAGGCCGCCTTTGTCTGGGCTTTTTTCTCCTCATATCTCTGCAACTTTAAAAGCTTCTTTTGAGCGTTTTTCGACAATGGCTGCTTGCTCTGGTCTGGGCATGGCGTGGAGAGAGGGAGAGCCCCAAAGCCTGCGAGGGGGGTAGTTTGGTCATTTTTAGCTGTTTCGGTGCCTGAATGAGGGGTATTTTGGCCATTAGCGTTGGATTCGGCTTCTTCCATCGCTGATGCCTATGCCTGGCGTTTGCGGAGGGAATTAATTTATAGGCCCAGGGAAATGCGAAAATGTCCCTGGATTGTTCGGTTATATCGGAATTAGACATAAATAACTTCTTCAAAAGGACATAGGACGCCTAATCAGATTTTGAAATTTTATATTTTTGTAATTTAGTAGCCAAAATTCCCAAAACATTTAGGCTCAACCGAAGTCTCAAAATAAATAAAAATAATCATTTGTTGTCCTAATTGGTTATTAAGGCTTTTGGGTCCAAACATAAATAATCATTTGATGTCTTAATTGGTTATTAAGGCTTTTGGTTTATGGATAATATAATTGTTCCTTTTTTTTTTTTCTTTTTATTTACAAAAATAGCAACTTATTTCTTTTATTAATCCGTCTCAATGATGCAGTGATTAGTTTCTTAACAATCACAAAAATACACGACTTTTTCAAAGGGGATTGTTTATAAAGAAATCATTTAGTTTTTGTACATGGCGGTAGATATTTAGATTTCAAATTGGATGGCTTGTGGTGAGACACGAAGTTTGAAATTTTTTTTAAAATTTTATATCTATTCAATGACACTCTTACAACCAGCTGTTTTGAAATTTAAAGGACAAAAATAATCGTGAGCTCTATATACAAAAGATAAACGGTCTATTTATAAACAATCCCCAAACAAAGTCATGATCCCACTATAGAACTACAAAAAGAAACAATCACTGCCACATTTCGTACCCTTCATACAATGTTCGAGTCACCAGCTTGCGCACCTTGTTTTGCCAATAAATCTTGATCTCCTTTAGGATTATTTGCTCGGTATACATAAGTAAATCAAATATTTTTCATTTTCCCATTTCACAATTTTATCACATTTAACGAACCTCCTTCAACAACACTTACAACTAAACTTTACCACAGACTTCAAGGATTATGACAATGACCTCGATTCAGCTTCATCAGCATCAACGGTCAGATTCTCAACCGGGCCATAATAAGACATGGCATTCGCATACAATAAGAACATTTACCTTGTCACAACATCCAGAACTCTAGCTAAGACTACATATTTCTCTCCCTTTCCCAAGGCTAAGAAATGGAATTGTATACTATAAGAACTTTTACCTTGTCAAAATCATTAACTTTTAGATGTGAAATTATATAGTTAGTGATGTATCATAAATTAAAAAAAAAATGGACTTTAAGTATAGTTAATAATGCTATCACGTGATTTTCATATCTAATAATTAAATATGATTAAGGTAAATAGTCATATCTTATATTTTTCCTCAAGAAATATGTTTTGAATGACAATATTCGGTTGGTCCCCATATGTAGCATTGGCAAATATATCAAATATGAACCACGAATAAAATGAACTAATAATATGCACATGCATTGTACGTGATATTCAATATTAATTGCTGAAACATATTTATCATTGAAAAATATTTTGAATAAAATATGGTCTTAGATATTATTAAATTTATCTCATAATTGAATAATTTTATTAAATAATTATGATTTCTTTAAAATTATGAAATAAATAGATAATTCAGATATATTATTTGTGATAAAATAAGATTACACTGAGGCTAAAAAATTAAAAATGAAGGAATTTATCTTTAAAATTGAATATTGTATCAAATAATTATAAATGAATTTTGAAACTATTTAATTAATTCATATCCATATAGCATAAATTAAAAAATATTAAATAATTCAAATTGCATTAATAAAAATGATAGCGAATTTAAGTTATATAAATAATAGTGAGAGACAAAATAATATAGGGTCTTTCGATTGCCAATATCAAATATAATAGTTTTTTAAAACATAAGGTCTTGCTAATACCTATATCCAATATATTAGGGTATTCAGACATACTTCAAAAGCATTAGCCTTGTTATAAAAAAAAAAATGATAGGAACCTATGTACATTGACCAATGCCGAATTTCAAAAATAAAATTCTTAAATCCTTATACTTATGGTACTAATAATATATAATCATTTATGTTACGAAATATAATTCTTATTAAACATTGAATAGAATAATTTGTTTGTTAATTATTCTATATATAATATATGTTGCCTATAAAATAATAATTATTATTTCTTACTGATATATTATATTTATGTTATCAAATATAATTCTTATTCAATAGTATAAAATAGGTCCTTAAGAAAATGCAACTTTAAAATAATTTAAAATGAAATAAATAAGAAAAAATAAAAATAGTACTATGGTGTGTGCAACTTTTTTTCCAATTTCATTGTGGATGTCAGAAGATGCAAAAAAAAAAAAACCAACAAAAAAAAAACAAAAAATGAAAAAGAAAATGTAATATGTAATATAAAACTGACAATAGATAAAAAAATTATGTAATATTGCAGATATTACCGAAAATTCAGTTTTCACATTAGATCCACGAATCGTGTTAATGAAATCAATATTCGAAAATAAAAATCCTAATCTCAAAGTCAAACATGCAAATGTTATCCGAAATCATGCAAATATTTAATATTTAGTACTAACTCGATAATATATATTTTTATAATTACCTAAAATCATAGCTTATTGAATAGTTTGAAAAATCCATAATGATGGCAAAATACACATTTACGAAGAAATATGCAAAAGCACCTTTATTATCTGAATTGCAAAAGTTATTCTTGTTAATGTTAATATTTAATGTATAATACTAACGCAAGAATATTATTTTTTTAATTACCTAATGAATAATCATACGATAATATTCTTTATTTGTTGGAATTCGATTCAATTATAGAATATAAAAAAAAAATCTTCACATCCAATGAAATGAGAACCAAAATGATATTTTGTAGCGCTCCAATCAAGAAGCGTAGCTAGGAATTCATTAGATCAAAGATTTATTTACAAAATGAGACACATTGAAAAAAACGACTGAGAATTGATAAAAAAATTCAGTAATATTACAAATATTACCCAAATCATATTGAACAACTTGATTTACATAGCCTCAATCAACAAATCATGTTAAGACTCCTGTAGATCACTCAAATATCTACAAAATTAAACAAAAATATCTCAATTTTACATAATATTCTAAAAAAAATAAAAATTAATTCCACGTAGAACTAAAGAGAACATCATGACAACGACCGAAATGTAGGCAAAAGCAACAAAGGAATACATAGGAATGTAAAGAAAACTAAATGTTATTTACCTTGTAGATCACTGAAAGATCTGCAACAACAAACAAAAATAACTCAATCCACATAATGTTAACAAAATAAAAAAAAATAAAACTCAACTCCATATTGAAACTAAAGATAACAAGAAAGAAAAGACCTAAAATGCAAGCAAAAGCTATGAAAAAATACATAAAAGTATAGAAAAAATAGAAAATTACTTACCTTGAAAGCCTAAAATTATATTTTCACAATAGATCCATTGAGAACATCTCGAAGTACTTGATTTGCAAAGCCTCAATCAATGAATCATGCTAGAGGTTCTATAGATATCTTAAAGATCTACAAAAACAAATAAAAATAAAAATCAATCCCACGTAGAAACCCAACAGAACATGATGGAAATGATTGAAAATGTAAAACATAAATTTTGATGTAAGGATATATGAAAAACAACACTTCCAGGAGGTTGTGCAACATAAGTTAGGATGGTCATGATTTCCATTCATCGAATACTGTAAAATGTGTTGAAATGCCGTGGGAGATGAATAGTTCAACATTTTACCCCAGCTATTGGATTTCACATTGGATGGTTGTAGTAATTGTGACCTCTCATATGTCTTTTGGATATTTTGAAATAAAGTAAAAATATTAAATAGTTTATATCTCATGAACATTTGGATAAATTTCCCTAATTAATTTCATATATTCTGATTGTTATTTTAAGAACAACCATGATCCTACAAGATATAAATTAGATCAAATTTTATCGACTAAAAAGTCCCCGCCTCAATCCAATATAAACCAAATATATCATCAGCATCAACATCATAACATTTTCCCAATTAAACCAGCAAATATATCATCCAAAAAATAAAAGATTTAAATGGTGCTTTAAATGACGGAATTGAGTGCAAACTTGGCCAGCCAATGTTTTAAGTTCCCCAAATCCAAATCAAGATTGGGAAGTTTTATTAACAAAAAGTTAAAAAAATTTGCCAAGAAAACCATGAAATTTGGGAGATTTTGAGGTTTTCTAGCTGAGACTTCCCAGGTCCCCAATCCAATCCAACTGGGAACTCAATTTGGTTCACTCGGTCAGTATGGTGATGAACATGATTTTAAGAGAAAGTTAAGCTAATATCCCACAAATTCACATTATTAAAGAAATCCTCAAAATTTCATTATTCATGTGCACACCCTTTTTCTCTCTTTTTTTTTTTAAAAAAAAAAATCAAAATTGCCACCACTTGATAGAGCCATTTTATGACTTTGGATCTTGGAGATCCAAAGTCGGGCCCCTATATACAAAGTCAAATCTAACTTCAAATCTTTAGTATCCAAGTCATAAAATGGTTGTCACTTGGATCTTGAAGATCCAAAATGGTAGCAATATGGCAATTAAAAGAGAAAAAAAAACAAAGAGAAAAAAAAAAGGTACACGAAATACTGTGTTTTGGGATTCTGTTTTCTCAAAATTTTAAAACACTGGATTTGATTGTATGAGCTTATTTTGACATAGGGTGTGGTTTGTATAGAGCCAAGGCTCTAAACAATTAAAGTTAAACACACCTTCAAATAATGTTGAAAAATGTGGTTTCAATACTGGAAATCTTTGTAATAGCCTTAAAATATATTATCCTCTTTAATTACAAAATTAAAACTTAAAAAAATAGTGTAGTTCGAGCAGGTCTATGAAAAATGAAAAATCTTAAAAATTGACGGTTCAAAAATGTGTTACAAGATGCACTATTTCCAAAACTTGAAATCCATTTTTTTTTCCCATGTCCATGTATATTGATGTCGAGATGATCAATTTGAGGATATTTGGACATCAAAACAACTTCTTTTAGTGAATTGTTTGAGGTGGGCCCTAGTTTGATTGTTTAGGGCCTCAGTTCTATTTGAAGTTTTCCCTTTTACTAAAGAATTGCACCGTCAAATTACTAAAATATATCATGAGTAGGGTAGTTGACAGGCCATGCTTGACTAGGCTCGAACTTGGGCTGAAATCACGAAACTGGGCCCAGACCCTGCAATAAATCTTGCCTATGAAGGCGCAAAGCCCAACAAAAAATTGTGGGCTAGGCCTAGCGTTTTATAAATGCAAGAAAATTTTTATTTTAAAAGCTCGTGAAAATTTCTGATGCTAGGCCCGAAGTAGGTTCAGGCTAGCCCGGGTTTGGCCAAAAATAGACTAGGCCAAGGCTTGACTCGAATTAGCTGAACCTAGCTCGATCTAGCTCTGTTCCAAGGGCTCACATTCCCGCCTGCCCTATTCACACCACAAGTCGTGGGAGGCATCCCCAAGCTGGTGATAGCTATCAATGTATTCAAGAGAATTTTATGTTAATGTTCCTTTGAATTACTGTTATTAAATAAAGAAAAAAGTTTATATAGAGCTTCTAAATAACCAAATTAGAGCCCACATCAAAACTTTCACTATAAGTGGTTGTTTTGATATCGAAATATCATCAAATTGATCATCTCGGCATCAAGATACATGAACATGAGAAAAAATTGGATTTCAAATTCTAGAAATTATTGCATCTGGTAACGTATTTTGGGATCGTCAATTTTAAATATTTTAAAGCTTTTATAGACCTGCTCGATCTACACTATTTTTGAAGCTTTAAATTTTATAAATAAAGATGAAAATATATTTAAAGCTATTACAAAATTTTCCAATATTGAAACCATATTTCTCAACATTATTTGAAGGTGAGCTACAATTTGATTGTTTAGAGCCTTGGCTCTATACAAACTGCACCCTTTAATAAATCCTAAAAAAAAAATTACATTTATAACTATTTTTTTCATTTTTTTTTCGAATTGACCCTACTTAGGACTTTTAATCTTTTTGCTCATAAAGTAATTGCGTATCTTGAAGGTTTGAATTGTTCTAAACATCAATTTCGAACCTTCAAGATCCTATATTGGTTTTTGTTGAGCCGAAGTTGAGGCATTTTTTTGGAAGTAAATTTTGTGTTTTTTTGTTTCAAACATCAACTGCAGACCTTAAAGAATATAAATCAATGTCCATAACAACTTCAGATCTTCAAAGTTTGAAATAAGATTATGAGTAAAAAAGATTAAACTTTGGGCTATCTAGGTCCTAAGTAGGGGCATTTTGAAAAAAAATACAATTTGATAAAAAGTATGACAAAAAATCGAACTTTTAATTTATATGGCTATTAGCATAAATTTCACTATATTCAGTACCCTGACAAATTTTTTTTTTTTTAAAACAAGCTACTCGACTAAATGCTTTATTCTCATACTCATTAGGGAACATACTCCACATGCATGCATCCATGAGTCAACAAGCATTGGATTGTGCAAATAGGACACCCTTGTTCAAGCTCTATTCTCAAACACATCTTCATGGTCCAATCCAATAACCATTGTCTAAATTCGAAGACTTTCCCTAAGGGCCATGCTATAGTATATACTTGCCGCTAAATATAATATACCCCGTTTAAATAACTAAGCTAAATTGGAAGCAAATGCAATTGCAGCTGAATTTACCCAAGTTTAAGAAAACAAATCCCTTTTATTTTTGTTTTTTATTTTTTGGGTAGACAAAAAGGTCCGTTTGAAGAGGGGATAAAACTAATTAATAAAAAAATATATAATGTTCCATTTGTAGAGGGGATAAAACTCATTAATAAAAAAATATAGTGTTCAGTTTGATTGAAAATTTTTAACAAGTTTTTCAATAAGGTATTTTTATGAAATGAAATTTGTTTAAAAGAAGAATGAAGTTTCTATAAAGCCTAGGCTTTATGAAACAAAATAAAGCCTCATCTCAAATCCCAGTTCAGAAAGCACTTTCAACAATGGAAATCTTCATGATGGCTCTAAAATTAATTTCCATCACCGATAAAAAAATTTGAAACTAAAAAAATTGACAAATCTTGCAAATAGGTGAACATTTTTTTTTAGAATGAAATGGATAGTCTAAATAATTTGTTACGATATACACTATTTATAGTGCTTGAAATCTAATTTTTTATTCAAAATCATAATGTTCAAGCCGAGAGAATCGATGTAAAGGTTTTCCAATGATTGAATTGTAATTTTAGATAGGTTATAAGATGAGGCTTTACTTATTTTGATAGCCATATCAATTTATTTTTCTTTAAAGAAAATGGGATCTTAATGCACTCTAATCTTAAATGAATATTTTTTGATAGTTTTTCAGGAAAGGCCTTATAAAAAAAGAAAAAAGAAAAAAGAAAAAGAAAAAAAAAAAAAACAAAATAGGGTGAGCTTATTTTAGTTATTTTACTGAGAAGTTAGGGGTAGTTTCGTCATACTTAAGTTTTAGTTCAGGCACACTAAAGTACGGGACTTAGCGACGTATGTCATATATAAATACGCAATCTGGTCCGATCGATGAACAAGTCATTATAAAACTTAACCTCTCATGTGATCTCGTTTACTCTTTAAACTCTTTCACTTTCTCCAGCCCTAAAATCCATTTCCTCTGCAAATTCCATGAATTTTGCCCTAGAAATTGCGGAAGAAGCTAAATTTTAGCTCAAAAAATGGGACATCAACTCCCACAGCGGCTCAAAGAAGCGGGCACGAAGCTTGAGAACCCTCCATCATCGAAGGATTCACTCATCAAGCTTCTAAAGGTTAGTGATTTCTTGTAATTTGGCTTATTACTGATATTTTTTTTTCTTTTCTAAGTTTAATGGATTTTGGTAGCTTCCTTTGAAGTTTCAGTACTGATTTTGAAAAGTGTGTGCTTCGTGCATTTTCAAGCAGTTGTTGGTGTTTATAATTGTGGAAAGGAGAGGATATTTATGTTTTTTCCTTAATTTTGTTGGAAAGATGGGGTTTTTATGGATGATATGGAGCATATGAGGGAAATCAGTTTGAAGTTTAGCGTGCATTCTAGAAAATTGCAGATTTATGTTTATATGCCCATACTTGAAGTTTTTTTTGGAACTATAGTCTGGGTTTGATGTAGTAAAAGTTTAAATTTGAGCATCATAGTTACTGCCAAATATCTGATAAGTAATAAAAAATCTGCATGAATTTTAGATTACACACGAGAACCAGTTCATTTTCTGTTAATTCCATTTATACTTAATTTATTTGATGGAATGGTCCCCAATTAGTTGGGAAAGGGCTTTGACAATGATGATTTAATGAAATGACATCTTTAAAATTTACATCTTGAGTACTTATCTCTAATAACACTTGTCTGAGAAACCAATCCAGAAGCTTGAAGCAAGTTTTAGCAAATCTGAAGCATATGTAGTTTTATTTTCTTATTACTGTCTGTATGAGGCAATTGCATAGCAGTACTCAGAATCAAGTGTCTTTACTGTAGTGAGTATGGATATAGTTTCTTGGATGTCTAATTAGTAACAAGTCGCTAAGAAATTTACATCATAGTTAACCAAGAAGACCCAGAACTAGGGGAGATATCACTCAATTAAAAATCACTGGAAACGACATATTTACCCCATATGGAATATAGCTGGAGTTGTTCATTTAGTTAATAATCTTTAGTATAGACACGAACCAATTAAGAAATTCTAGGATGCCCTATTTTTTCTGTTCAATAGAAATCCAACCCATACTTGTAGAAGCAACAACTGTGCCAGCAGAAAGGGCGGGTTGTCGTGGTTGATGTGAGAAATTTCTGTAGAAATATATGCATCTCTATATTTTTTAACTTGTAAAAAACTATTTCCAAAACAAGAAGCCAGTGGAAGGTGTTTTAGATTTCTTACTGGCTTGCAAGTTGAAGAAAATGTTGCTATCTCAAATTTTTGGAGGGAATGTTGCCACCTGAAATTCGTTAGAATGAGAGCTGCATATCTGTAGTGACAAGGAGCAGGTGCGATGGCCTTGTTTGTGGGCATCTATTTTCAAAGAGGTCAAATTTTCCTGTTTAATGCGTTGATACTGATTCATGTGAGATGTCTACCATTCACAGGAAAGATGCGATCAAATATGATGTGTCTGAGAAGTGAACTTTGCTCTCTCACAATCCAGTAACAAGATAGTTTTTAAGGGCTGTAGAAATATGAAGGGACTAGTTGGACAATTTTGTAGGAACTGTACACTATTTATTGATGTCGTCATCATGCTGAGCTTTATCCCAACTTTATGGGTTCTGCATATTATTTGCTGATATCACTTGCAAAAAGTTGAACATAAAAGGTTAACATTCTAAAAAAAAAAAAAAGAAAAAAAAAAAGAAAAAAAGAAAAAGAAAAAAAAAAAGTTGAACATAACGTGATAAAGAGTATACATCAGAGTGGAGGAGCAGTGTTGCTCTTTTGACTTAAAAGTGTTAGTGACTTTGAAAGTTACTTACAATGGTTGCCAACTGTAAAAGTTGCTGGAGATATCCTTTTAGAATGAAGAAAGTTTAGGATGCTATATGTCTGGTTCATTGGAGAAGCATGCGTCCTGATCCTGTCTCCATGAAAGTTCTGATTTGAAGCATGTTCATGGGCACGCGTTAATTATCTGTGTTTGAAGCAGATGATGAATAAAGGCTTCTTTCTGGCGAGTCGGATGAGTAAAGTTTTTTACTTTCTGTCTAGGTGGCTGAATAAAGGTGTCTGAGGAGATGTTATAAATGTTGAATGTCAAATTTGTTGAGGCACACAGGTTTTCTTTTGGGTAAGATCCATGTTTTTCATTTTTCACTGATCAAACCCCCTCATGTGCATCATTGTCACTCAACTTTATTCTTTCATACAATTTTAGGAAGGTGCCCACTCTATCTTTGTCGAGTGAGTTGCTTAAATTGACGAAGATTGGTGATTTTTCTTGACCTGTGGCGAGTACATTTTGCATTATGTCTCAGATATTCCAAAAGTTTGTGGGTGTCAGAAAGATGGTTGACAAGGAAGTGGTCAAGAGATTGGGTTGTTAGAGGTACATTTTGGAGAGGAGTATACTCCTTGGCAGATTACTAATTGAGAAAACATGGGTCTCATGTAGAACTCTTGGTTGTGGAAAGATTGGGAATTTTGGAGAGGCTCTTGGGAGTATGTTGCATGCCAGTAACCATAATAATGGGTCAATTACCTAATCAATGCTTCCTGTATTCATATTAATCTGGTATCGCATGTCATTTGTGTTCATACAGGAGCCAACAATATATTACTTTGTATTTGTATGTGTGTGTCCTGTATATCAGGGAACCTAACTACCAAAAAAAAAAGAAAAAAGAAAAAGGAGGATATTGGATCATGCATAAGTGCTGTCTTGCTTGTTTAGGAATTCGCAAGCATTGAATGAGATTCAAGTGCTGATGGACTCTGAATCCTTAGAGTCACCTGATTCTGGGCTGGAATATAAGAAGATTTCACTCTTCTTGGCTTAGTGTTTGTTGCTTAGCATTACGATGTAGATATGTGGCAAATGCCATGATAAATGGTTTTACAGTGACTAGGGAGTAATTCTTGGAGGAGCCATATTTCTTAGCAGAGCATTTACATATATCCATGAACAAAAAGTTCATACATTCACCATCATTTTATGCAGAAAATGGTTCAAATTTCCTTCTTTTTGTTCCTAAACTGACTGACTTGTGTTGTGGAAATAATAATATTTGTGTGTTCTGTCTCTGAATTGCTTACAGGTGATATGGATTATAACTCTTTCATAGGTGGTAGAATATCAGTGCATTAATTCGTTAAATAACCATCATGGTAATCACACAATCAAAATTATGCTTGTCTTAATCCTCTGTCATTTCTTTTGTAGCAAGCTGCCACTTGTCTCTCTGAGCTGGATCAATCACCATCCCAATCCTTATTAGAGTCAATGCAGCCATGCCTCAATGCTATTGTGAAACCCGAACTTTTGAAACACTCAGACAAGGATGTCAAGCTCCTCGTAGCGACTTGCATATGCGAAATAACCAGAATCACTGCACCTGAAGCGCCATACAGTGATGATGTTCTAAGGGTACCATTCTTTCTTGAGAAAGGTTAACTGCCTTTTGAATGAAATTCACTTTATTTTCTACCACTTATGTGGAACTGCATGGAATTCTCATATCAATGCCATGTTGCCATATTTAAATATGCTTTGGTTTGTTATTTTTTCAGGACATATTTCGGTTGATTGTTGCTATATTTGGAGGATTGGGTGATACGAATGGTCCATCATTTGGGAGAAGGGTTGCTATTCTAGAGACTGTTGCGAGATATAGATCGTTCGTTGTTATGCTTGATCTGGAGTGTGATGATTTAGTTAATGATATGTTCAGAACCTTTCTTTCTGTTGCCAGGTACACCTGGTTTCTATTCTATACAACTTCCAGAGATTTTACACCTCCATGATAGTATCAATAATTTTCTTGGCTTGCTTTTGAGTTTTATTTTAAAGGTCATACCTGTTGACAATTGACTATTCTGAAGCTGGAGCATTCTGATGGTTGAAATTAGATGTAGATATTGTAGCTCATTCTCTTGAGGATACATACTTTACGGAAGCTGCAGCTTTCTAATGGTTATAAGTTAAAACTAGAAATATTAAGATTGATAACTACTTACCTAGAATTTCTATTGTAGCTAGTGTCTCTCTGAGATGCATAGTCTGGCCATGTGGCAGAATGTCATCATCCAAAGTTGGAGATGCATATCTGCTGAAGCTGGAGCATTTTAATGGCTAAAAGATAAAATTAAAAATATGAGCCGAAGTCGACTGGGATCAGCACCCTTCTTAGTCTTGGTCAAGTCATTTGGACATGGCTAAGGCTCAGTGTCACTCTTAAGATTCATCTCAAGACTTGCTCAAATGCTGATGTGAGTTGCGGGTTTTGAACTTCGACAGGGTTTTTTATCTCTTCCTAAACTATATAATACAGCATCAATGAATTTAGACCAAGTACCTTTTGTGCATATATTAATAATGATGTCCTTTTGCTTGTCAAGCTCCATGAGCCAAGCTCATTCATTTTCAGCTAGACTCGGCCATGTAGCTTTTATCGACTGCAATATCAACTTGCTTGATATGGAAATTGGGATTGAGTTAGATGCTATAATGCTAGGGCCTTGCTTTTGTGAAAATGCGTAATCACAGATCGCCTTACCCAATTGCCTGGATTGCCAGATACCTTCATGTTACTTTTCCTCCTCTTTTTTTTTGGGTTTATTGTTTGGTGTTGGGCATCAGAGATATGGAGTTCATTACCTCCATAATCCAGCTAAAATATGGACTATGAGATTTTATGAGTTAGTTGATTTGGAGTAGAGTTGATTAGATCTCTGTTCTTACTGGATGGAATTGAGCATGTACTAGTTCCAAATGGATTGTGAATCCGAGAGGGCTAAGTGTCACCCTGCAGATGTGATTCAAAGTATCAATCATTTTAGAATATATGGGGTTCATTACCTCCATAATCCAGCTAAAATATGGACTATGAGATTTTATGAGTTAGTTGATTTGGAGTAGAGTTGATTAGATCTGTTCTTACTGGATGGCATTGAGCATGTACTAGTTCCAAATGGATTGTGAATCCGAGAGGGCTAAGTGCTTGATACCTGCAGATGTGATTCAAAGTATCAATTATTTTAGAAGAATGCTTAGTGTCATTGAGCTCAATGAAGATGAAGTTTGATCCTCTTTGATGGGATGAGGAATTTGGATATGAATTTTCCTGCATGTACGTTTTCTCCATAGGGATAGGGGGATGTTGGTGTTCTTGTTATTCAGAACTCGATTGGAATCCTGGTATATCTAGTGTATCTGGTTCTGCCATATCTGGTATATCTGATGTTGCCCTGGATAGCATTTTTCCCATTTGAGATTAGCAAGTGGTGACTTAGGTTGTTATTCTGGTTCATGATGAATATGATAAAAGAATAAGGTCCTATTGATGAGAGCAGTTCTGTTGCTGTGATTTTAAAGAGTCTGTTTGATGGCTCCTAATATCTTTGAAATTTTCAAGATCATAGTTGCTGGGAACTCCCAACCTCGCTGGCAATTGCCCACTGGAATATTGCTCTGGCGCTCTGGGAAAGGGATCTTCAATGAATCTCGAATTTTAAATTTTGGTATCTCGACAACCATTGTTAATTTTGGGATCTCGACAATCATTGTTAGGGATCCCAATCCCCGCTTTAAAGCCGAAGATAATTACCAAACTGATGTTTTTCTTTATTTATAATCAGCTAGCAATGCAACTATACTTTTAATGTTAAAAAAGAAGTAGAACTACTATACTTTTAATGCAGTCGTAATTCTTCATTGTATGAGCAAAGAGATCCTTACTTTGAAGAGTATGTATAGTCCTAGACTATATATGTTTTTTAGGGCTGAGAGCAAAATTCCAAACATTAGGGTTTGAAATGGAAAAAGGTCGGGATCGAGATCCCTTAAAGACTGGGATTGAGATCCCTAATATTTGGGGATCACGATCCATAACATATGCATTATACGGACCAAATCCCCAACCATAGGGATCTTCTAGCCTGTGATGTCCCCTCCTCCTGCTCCCTATTCCATTCCCATGTTGCTTCAGATCCCAACGAGTACGCTTGGGGTATTGGAAATCCAAAATTGTCATGATTTTATAATATCAACTGGCTTCTTCAATTACCCAAAATGGTAAGCCACTACTTTCGTTATGAATGCCCGATATCATGGTAGGCAAAATTTCAGGTCTGTCCTGGATTTTTGCCCATTGCAAAAGAGATGCAATGAATACACAATTGCAAAATATGGAACCTGCGGTTTGTTTATCACACTTCAATGTATTCCATATTCTCTATTGAGTTTGGTCAAACGGAGACTTAGATGATTGGCTATGAGCAGAGTACTGAAGGGCAAGTGGGGCGGGAATAAGATGCATTTGAAGGTTAAGTTGGCTGCAACGGAATATTTTAGGCTGTTCAGTAAGCCTATATTGCTTCAAATATAGTCCAAGAGCTGTTGCTGTGAGTAAGCAGTAGAATGCTTGGTTTTCTCCATTAATTACCAGATAACCAGAACTTGGGTTCCAAAGGTTGATGTGCACAAGGAGGTAGGTAGTCGACGTGGAAGCATGCTTTATATCCGTCGTATCCCTTATTTTCCAGTCGTCTGTTGAGTGTTGAGATCTTGGTACATATTGCCTTTTCTATACACATGGGTCTACTTGATATATAGTCACCTTTGTCCACGTTATTCTAACATTGGAAAAATGGACAATAAAAGAAGTGAGCATAGGTGGGCCATCAAAGATTGAGACTATCCACATTCTCTCTCTCTCTCTCTCCCCTGGTAAATAATGTCTTGTCAAACACCTATTAGTTGCCTGTGACCAAAGTTAAAGAGTAAAGGTCCGAACTTCTGGAGAACTTTCACTATCTTTTTGTCATGAGCTTCAAACTTCCAGTGTTTACTCCAGTTCCCCAGAGTGGCGTCTTACTCGAAATTGCAACCTAGTGCTTTACATGGCTAATAATGAGAACATAGGCCTAATATGAGAAGGATGAATGCTTGAGTAACAAACGAACAACAATCATGATATGTGTGCCTCATGGTTCTGTATGGAAATACTAATTCTTCAAAAATATCCCTGCATTCAAGAGACACATATTGAGTAAGTAAAACATAGAATAGATTCCATAGCTCCCATACATCTAATTGTGGCACTACTTGGAGTGACATCTATAATATTCGGCCCCACATGACTCAACTCATGATACTAAGAACTAGATCAACTAGTACTTTTGTCACATTTGAAAAATTACTATATCAAGTGTTTTTGCCTTAAATCAGACCAATATTTCCCTCGAATAAAATATTCTCAGAAATGAATTTTTCTTATTCTTTAGTACTGCTTACCCAAGTTAATAAGGTGTCTTTGCGTGGTAAATGACTGAATTTTTCTCATTATTACATGACTAGTGGTGTGTTTGCAATAAGTTATGTAAAGTACCGCATTTTTTAAGTTCTGATAAGTCCACTGCTCCATTTAGTTTGTACAATCAATTTGGAAAGAGGGCCGGGGCCCTTTCTAAACTTAATGTAGAGCAAGGTGAAAAGGCGGTGTTTTGCCTATCTTCTAACACTTAAAGGGCCTGGACAACGATTGGGTTAACCCTGGCTTTGACTGCTGTATGCAAAAGATGGAAGCTGCAGAACTACAGTGGATTTCCACCTCTCCAAACCTAAATTACCCTTTGTGAATGCATTTCTACTTTTTAAGGTAGATTGGCATGCAACGGCACACCAATATCACTTACAGACATGTATATGCTTCATACAAATGTTCTTATATGCAATGTAATGTGGCTTGCTAAGGGATGTAGGCGATTTGCTTGGATCTAACGAGCAAATGTTGTAAGGTGATAAATCAAGGGCATAGGCCTCTACTATGCTATGGATTGTGCAAGCCAGAAGGAGACGATTAACATCATGTGCAAGCAGTGGTACATAGAAGCCGACGCTGATGTTTTGTCTTGCACGTGTCTTAGGTGTATAGCACTTTAGGCTGAAGACCCAATACAGCCCGACCTCTTCGTACAAGTAATTTTATAGAAATGTAATGTGTATAAGTTGTGTAGAGAATTCCAGAAAGGTTACAAAAAGAGAATTATGCAAAATTTTAAAAATAAGGACAAAAAAGATCTGTTTTATGGTGGGGAATGCATAAAATAAGTCGTTTGTTTCGATTCTTTTATAGTTTATTTTCCAAATAATGATACTTTTAATAGTACTAATAAAATAGTTAACAATAAATGGTGATAACATAGTGGTAGAGTCATTTACCCTTTTGCTGAAAGTTTCTGAGTTCAAGTCCCACAAAAGAGAAATATAATATAATTTAGAAACTGACGGCTTTTCTAATTACTAGACACGTCTGACAGATGTGTGGATGCTTCATATCAGAATGTCCAATTCTCTGGCATGTACAGAGTGCATGCTGGACCCATATCAGGGTGTGTCAATATGTGTCAATATACAGCACATGCATAAAATGGAGTACCCTTGTAAACTGTGTGCAATGCGTGGGTGGAGTACCCAGTGCGTTTGTAAACTTCTACTATCATACTTTGTTTGCAGTGGGCTGATTTACTCCATTTTTTGTCTTGCATCACATTATGATGCTATTTGGCTAGACATATGGTTGAATTGCTTGTGACTTGGTAATATGCAGTCATTCATCTGTTGTATATTTGAATTCTAAACTGGACAATCAAATGGAATTTTCTGTTTTAGTGAGAGTGATATACAATTAGATATTTATATATCAGTTCTTTAATTGTGTCTCTAACTAACCAACATAAAAAAACAAAAAAATTTCTTATGACATGGTTTTTTTTCTCTGTTTTATTTCGACATCAGAACTTGTGATCACTAAAGCCTTTATTATGTTCTCATTGAAGTTTTTCTTGGGGTTGCAGAGATGATTATCTAGATAATGTTTTAATGTCCATGCAAACAATCATGGTACTTCTTTTAGATGAGAGCGAGGATATCCAGGATGAGCTCTTGCTTGTTCTATTGTCTGCCTTAGGTCGGGGGAAAGATGTGAGTTTCCACTTTTTGTAATCTGATTCATTGTTTTTCACATGTGCGATTTTCGTTCTAGTTTGAGTTTTTCATTGGACTTGCAAATAGTTGCTAATTCAGTCTTGGTACTTGTCATGTAGGAAGTTTCTTTGGCTGCAAGGAGATTGGCTATGAATGTTGTAGAGCACTGTGCTGGAAAACTTGAGCCTTATGTTAACCCATTCCTTATATCAGCACTGTCGGGGGACAAGCATTTTGTTGATGATGAGCTTGATTATCATGAAATCATATATCATATATATCGTTGTGCTCCTGAGATTCTTCATGGGGTCGTCCCATACATGACGGGAGAATTACTGGTAGCTTTTGTCTTCTTTCTCATGTTTCTTTGTGCTGAAACTGTTTAATTGATGTTGAGTCTGATTATTATGAAATTGGTATCATTTATTGTTGTGCTCCAGAGATTCTTTGTGGATTCATTCGATCAATACATGACTCACGAAGTACACCACTTGCTTTTCTGTTGTTTGTCATGCTCCTTTGTGGCCAGTATACCACTAACTTTTTTTATTTTCTTCCATTTCTAATCTTTTGATTGTAATTGTATTAATTGATGAAGTAACTTGCTACTTTTGATGATGAGCTTCATTATCGTTATTGCTTCTCAGATTAGATAACATAATTTGGTCTTCAATATTTGATTCTCTGACCATGTTGGTAAGCTTGATTGTTATAGAAGTTCTACCATTAACCATTGTTGTCACACATGAGAAGCTTGTCGCCCTCTCACATTGTAAAGAAAAATTAAACTTTTGCAGACTGATCAGCTTGATGTTCGGCTGAAATCAGTGAACCTACTCGGACGCTTGTTTGCTTTACCTGGACATGTCATCTCGCAAGCATATCTGCCACTCTTCTCTGAGTTTTTGAAAAGGCTAACCGATAGAGTAGTGGAAGTGCGAATATCTGTTGTTGAGCATGTTAAAGAGTGTCTTCTGTCAAACCCATTTCGAACTGAAGCGCCTGAAATTATCTGTAAGAAGGAATTTCATGAGTTGTTTTAGCTTCATCTGTGGGAAGGATTAATTGTGTTGGATACATTACTTTACTCTCATTTTAATGCACATTTTTCAGCTGCACTCAGTGCTCGACTGTTAGACTATGATGAAAATGTTCGGAAAGAAGTTGTAGCTGCAATTTGTGATGTGGCCAATTCTTCATTAAAATCTATTCCAACTGAGACTATTAGACTTGTTGCTGAGCGTCTTCGTGATAAATCTGTATGTTTTTCCCTTCTTCTTATGCTCACACTTAAAGATTCATATTTCTTTATTGTGCTTCAACATATTTAAAGGGTTTGATTGATGTACAGTTTTTTCCTATCTATTTGAAATATTCCAGATAGTTGTCAAAAGTTATACCATGGAAAGGCTAGCAGAAATATACCGGTTATATTGCCTGAAGGATTCGGATAATTTAATTGGAAATGGTGAATATGACTGGATTCCAGGAAAACTATTGCGATGCTTTTATGACAAGGATTTCAGGTAGGGCATCAAATCTTGACAACGTTCCTTCTGCAGTATGGTTTGGCTTACGTCTACCTGGAGACTGGATTGAATTTATGGGCATATGTTTGTTTTTTATTTTTTTTATAAATAAATAATGAGCCCATTTGTTCTCCAAATTTTGTTGATAGTATAATTAAGAGAAATTCCTAACAATATCTTTTACAGATCCAAAGAAATTGAGATTCTTTTGTCCGATTCATTGTTCCCGTTAGAGCTCTCAAATAAAGAGAAAGTGAGACATTGGGTGACGGCTTTTTCAAAATTTGAAAAGGTTGATGTGAAGGCTCTTGAGCAACTCCTGGCACAGAAGCACAGGTTAGCCCCGAAGCCTCTGTTCATGAAATTAATGCAATTCCGAATGACCCTCATATGATACATGTCCTGCATTTCTTGGTTTTGATAGACACTGGGCAGGTTTTCAGGGTATTTCCTCTTAAATTGCAGGTTACAGCAAGAGATGCAGGCATATCTATCTCTTAGACTGAAGCATCAGGTTCATTAGTCTTTTGAACAGATAAATACAGAACGAGGTTCAGCGGCAAAACAAATATAACTTAGACTATAGTTGTGTAATGCAGGATGATGGTTCACCTGAGCTCCAAAAGAGAATCTTAGGCTGCTTCAAAACCATGTCTCGTTCATTTAAGGATCCTGTAAAGGCAGAGGAGTGTTTCGAAACTTTTAATCAATTGAAAGATGCTAATATCTGGAAGATTTTGACAACCCTACTTGATTCTCATACTAGTACTCACCAAGCTTCAACCGCCCGGGTAAATTTGATATTACTTCAGCTTTTTCACAGTAGGAGTAGGCAGTGAACTGAATAAGTTTCAGTTTGACACTTCCAGAGTAAAATGATTTCCTCTTGGATATGCATCATATAGATGATTACAGGCTTATAAATTTAGTAAATTTAGATTATGAGCAAGTTATTCATTCTTTACCCATCGCAGGCTGACTTGCTTATGATCCTTGGTGACAAGCACCCTCTGTATGATTTCATGAGAACACTCTCAATCAAGTGTTCTTATGAACCTTTCAATGAGGATCTTGTAGAAGAGATCATGTCGGAGGTTGTTATGTATAAATCTTCAGGAGACGAGAATCAGCAACTTGTTCGTGCTTGCATGAAGCTTCTTGAGGTAACTTGTGTTACTTTCTGGATAGTATGGTGCTCTATCATTGTACTTGTCCATGGTTTCCTGATGGTATCTAGCTCCCTGTGCATGTTGGTTAGGATTACATTTTTTCCCTCCCCCTCCCTTTTTTTGCTGGATTGATTTTAAGGCTATGCTAAAACCCTATATATGCCTACTTTGTACCGAAATATTGGTGTGTTTTTTAGATTCTTTCAGGTTTTTTTCCATCGCTTTTCAATGGTACAGAAGAATCTTTGGTCCATCTTCTCAAAGAAGATGATGACAACATTAAAGAAGGTATTGTGCATGTTCTTGCAAAGGTTGGTGGAGTCATCCGGGATCAACTTGTTAAGACTTCCAGGTACACTATGGAAAATTCAAGAATTTTAAAGCGGAAAATCTTATCTATTTGTAAGTAGCTTTTTTGATATTTTAATCCGGTTTCTCGCAGTTCAGTTGACCTTTTATTAGAACGACTCTGTTTGGAGGGCACACGAAGGCAAGCCAAATATTCTGTTCCAGCCCTTGCTGCAGTAACTGAAGATGATGGACTTAAGGCACTCTCTGTACTATACAAGGTTTGACCTCCATGTAGTTTTAAATGGACCCATGATTCAGTTGAGTATTTAGTTTCTATCCATGTCTCAGGTATTTGTCTTGTTGAGGGAAAATTTCTGTTGCAGCAATAGTTTTCTGAGTGTCTGATTGGTTAGATGTTGACAATTGTGCGTGCGTGTGTGTGTGTGTATGTGTGCGTATAATTCTGCTCTATCAAGGGCCATATCTGAGGTGCCATATATATATATATATATATATATATATATATAC